TAATCGTAAACGGTCTTCAGCAACAAGGCAAGGGAAACAACGAAGAGCTTGACTCGAAACAAGTGAAACAAAATCTGAGAGAGCAGGATGCACCACGCGAGCAGCTCGAGCAGCTAGCCCTCAAGAGACAAGAGATGGCCGAGCAAGCGAAAGCAGCTCGTAGGGCTCTCCAGGTCGCGAAAGCGAAGGCACTCAAGTCCCAGAAGGTGTTGGACAAGCTCCAGGCTGGGGCCTCCAAGTACTAAAATTCGAATGAAGACAACAGAGGCACTAAAAGTGAACCTCCGGTTGACGATACGGGGCTGAAGAAGTTATCAAGGAGAAGGCAGCAACAGCCTTCGCAGCGCAACGGCGTGAAATCGATGAGCATCTCGGGCAAGCGGACGTTAAGCCAACTGAGAGAGCTACCGAGCAAACCTCAGAGAGCTCACGAAAAGGGGCCACAGGCGAAAACCATGGCGGAGACGACATGAGTGCAAGCAATGACGTCGACATGGGTGCTTCACTGCGGCTGGACGATCTAGATGAGAGAACTTTACCGAGTTTGCCGATCCCCGGGGGTATCCTGAACGCGACAGACGGCTTCACTCTAGATGAACTCCGTAAACAAGAGCCAAAGCTCTCGGAAACTCTTCCGGAACCGATTGAAGAAACCTTGCGCGAAAAGCCAACTTGCTTGGAGCCGAATCTGGAGTTACAATCTTTGATGAAGGTAGCTCAAGCAAAGAGTGATGAGGCCAAGAACATTCGGCAAGGCCAGCGAGATCGAAACGATCACGAGAAGACGTTGGATGCAACAAGAATTCGTACAGCTCGCCTGGACCAGCCGAGCACGAATGAATCCGGGACACGAGGGACTGGACATCGAGAAATCGTCTCGACAAGGAAGAACAGCAAGACCTCAATTCAGAACAATTTTCCCAACGCCAATAAGACAACAGCCAAGAACGAACATTTGCTTAGTTCTCAACCCGTGGTGATTGGCATTCTTCGAGGGAACCAAGCATCGAGTCTCTTGACAGATTGGCTCAAACAGCACAGCCTGAACGTCATTGACGTTCCAGTAAACGGCAATTGCCTTTCTGGTGTTCTCTTCGCGGCTATGAGCGGATTCTTGGGCCCTGGAAAGATGGAGTATTCGGATTGCGTGGAAAAGGAAGCTCAAGTCTGGAAGAGCCGCATTCTAGCGTTCTGTCAAGAATATGTGATGCTGGAAGCTGCGGGAGGAGCCATGCGTTTGCCCAACGATCGACAGACACTGAAGCAGCTCTATCCCTCGGAAGAGTGGGTTGCGTCGGAAGATTCTACTCGAATCATGAATCGACTGATCCGGCATTATGCTGAATGGGAGATATTTAAGTTTGAGACTTGGCTCCATACGTATTCTGGGGACGAGCAGCCGAGCTGCATGCTGCGGCAGGTCTTCTACGAGTACCAATTTACGTCATTGAAGCCGACGACACAGGACATATTCAGACCCGGCGATATTGCTACCAGAACAAGACCGGTATTGACGGAATCTCCAGAAAAAAGGGGTGCGACTTCAACATGACGATACCTGAGCTCAACAAATCTATGCGAACAGCGCGACAACATAGAGTTTTGCCAACTATGCTCCTTTACAGAAGGCGACGGAAGGTGGAGACCATTTCCAGGCACTCAAATTCGAGGATCACCTCTACCTAGACTTCTTAGTTCAGAAACAACGGACGTACACCCAAACATGCGCGAGCGACTGGATGACGTCCATAGTATCCTGAATATGCCGCCAGTCGTTGCTATCCCTCAATGGGAATTCGATTTACAAGAGGACGAGGAGGGGCACGAAGCTGCACAACAACTAATGTCAACATCTCAGGATGGAAAGACCGTGAAAGATCGAGGGTGAGAAGAGAAGATCGGGAAGTATACCTACAAATCCTTGGGCTTCAAGGCCCAAGTAAAACTTGGACCAACGAAGATCAGGAACGGAGAAAGAGGATGATGCAAGCCAATCTCACGAAACTGAAGGAATGGACGGCGAGCGGCCGTATCATTGGTCTGAAGATGGAAGTCTCAAAGTTCTGGGATCTGAAGACATTGAGCGTTTCCAATGAAGCAGTTTTCGGCCATCTTAAGCAACTCTTCTACTCCTTACCTTATCCTGAGCTTGCTATCCAAGTGATCGGGAATAAGTGTTTGACCAATTGGGGTGTACATATAGCGGTCAGAGCCCAGGTCGATTACCTTCACCGCCTCGATGCGCATTTGAAAAAACAAGAGGACAAGCAATTCATCAAAGAGTAGTTGAACTCTATTGATAGCGCTGACCAACAAAACGGAACAAAATGGAATCTAGCAACCAACTCAGACAGGTGGAAGCGACAGAAAGCAAAAGTTCCTACTGCTCTTTCAGGACATGCTCATCTCGGTTTGGATAAGTCGAAATGGGCTTTAGCTAGCTTTCTCCCGTACATAATCTTCTCTTGGAGACCAATATGCGGAGTGGACCCGGCGCCAGTGGGTTAAGACGCGAGGAAGGATGTTTGTCTGGAAGATATCGCATCGGCTTTCAAAAAGAACGATCAAGTACGCGCGGCTATTTGACTTATCTTGGATAAGAAAAATTGGAGGCCTGCCATCAAGGTTGGAATCAAGCTGACCCAACAGAAGGACGTCGGCCCGACCTGGCCATCGCTGGAATCAAACGATTCTAGTCAAGGCCACGCAAGATGCTAAAGGCTCCCCACGAGAACATGAGGCCGGAGGTGTGGGCGACTATAGCTCAGGCCCTTAGGAGATACAAGTCCCGGTCGAGCCACTAATGGCCGACTTCTATCACCTGATTGATGATGAAGGCAGACAAGATCAGCTAGTTCAAGATTTTCAAGCGCAAGCCAAGGCAAGCAGATACCTTCGCAAGGAAGCACGGATGTCGAGACGAGGGATACGCCGAACAGAAATGACAATTGGACTACACACTCAGAATGTCCAAGGTATGCAGAACACGATGAAATTGATCGAAGAGCGCTTCGACGATCTCAGGCAAACTTCCGTTGCTGGACCGCACTCGGTCGTTTTCCTCCAGGAAACGCATTCGACGAGCGAAGAGATCCCATTCGTCCATCTCTCCTCTTGATGCCGTCCTTCAGTCGCTGTTGTTGGCAATGGTGCTTGAATGTCTTGCGTTTGTATTTCCAATCCGTTCGTCCGCATCTCAAGCTGACTATTCGAGACAGTCGCGGGTGTGTATGGAAGGAGACAGGGATGCCATCAAGATCTCGTGTCGCTACTTCGTCGGCGTCCTGTGGTCTCTCCAAGAGGTGAATGCTGGTTGTGATGGCCGTATCCTGATAGCATATCGTGCTGTCGTTGTCCAGGAACCAGTCATGGTGTTTTTCCACCTCTCGATCCGTCGTTCAAAGCGCAACAGCAGCCCTCAGTCGATGGAGCAGTTCTGGAAAGTTCATTTAGAGAATCGAACAGAGATGCTCAAAGGATCGGAGAGTTGGAATTGTGGCAGCGGTGCTTATCGATGGGAAATTGAAGCTGACACAGCCGTGTTTCACCCATCGCCATTGCACTAGATCGCGTAGCTCTTGAGCTGTTACTGTCGACTTGGATCGACTGGGGTCGTGATGACGTCCTTTGCTGTCGAAGTGCCATCCTGCTGCCTTGATGTCACACAGCGGTAACCATTCGTGGCAGAAGAATCCACGCTACTCTCCGCGAGTCTTGATGCTGTCGTTCAGAGAAATGAGATCCGCTTTAGCCACCGCGATTTCATACTCACCGTCTGTCCATTCGGCTTTCGCTATGGCACGCGCCCGGAGCGCTTTCGTTGTTGTGATCTCCGCTGGGAAAGCTACAGGGGTGCACAACACAGGTAGGGTGGCTAGCACCGTCCGTCTCGTTTTCCATAGGCTGGACAGGAGTCTCACTGTGCTCTTCCCATCCGTTGGGGTGATGTACTTCGAAGCCGATTCCCTGTTCGTCGAGAAGAGGTCTCCATAAAGGCGCTCGTCCCAAGAGGTATTCGTTTCCCAAGCCGCTACTGTTGCTGCACTGGATGTGAAATTCCGTTGTCAAGTTTGGATAGCCGATTCCTTCTTGAAAAACTCAAAGTTCTGCCTGATGCTCACTTACCCACGGCTTCTTCTTCTCTTTGTCTGTTGGTTAGCTGCTGGATCGGGTCGAGTTGCTCCTTTGTCGGCCATGCGTATTGAACGCAGAACAAGACCTTCGGTACGACTATTGCTAGCGTGATCTCAGCTCGTTGAATAGCCGTGTGAGTTTTGTTTCGCGCCAGCACGAGTCTTGTCGTTAGAGCGTTTCTGCATGAGTTCCAG